TTGCTTGATATTAAAATTGAAATTTAAGACAGATTCCTGTCTTGGCAAAATCTGAATCTTTTTTATGTGGTAAATATGTGAAGGACTAAAGTCTTCTGCATTATAGTCAGTAGAAGCCTTAAAAATTTCGACGTGAGTGTTGATAGCGATTTCCGCTCCATCTGTGTGATCGCTTGTTCAGCTGTAAGTGCACTTAATGCAATAGCGATTTCTTGGCTAGTGTTCGACAACGAGACCAAAATAAGTTCTGGACACCGGTTCTACAACTTTTGACCATAACTAATGTAGAGAATAAAAACTAGAAAAATTGCTTGACTAAAGCGATGACTGTTTTAGCGAAGATGTCAAATTTTGATTTTTCATACATTTCAGTGTGGCATTTTAATTTTAATGTTTCCTTCAAATGCACTTCCCAACACAATTGTTAATGTGGTTTGCTCCTCTTCTTCAAAACACCCAAGTTTGCTGACATAACTTGCTTAATAGAAGAAAGTTGACCATTGTACGACAAAAAGTAAACAAAAAACCAGGTGATTTTGCAAACACTAATAATCGAATAGAGCAGAAGAGCAGTGAGAAGACAAACAGATGACTCATGTCGGCGTCATGAAGACTGAAGAATAAGTTCCCTATGACCTCGTAGAGCAGCATCGATTTGAAAATTACTTACAGAAATTTCTGGTTCGCTTATGCTGTCCAACATGATATCTTTTTTTTGAATATAAGTTTGAATACAGGTATTTGCATTAAGTCACGTGTACAATTTTTGAAATAAATTGATAATTGATGATCATTTAAATAGGACTAAAAATATTCTGAACTCAAGATAGACAATTTGTTTCCAACGCAGAAGGGATATCAATGAGAGCGGCAAATTTGGAAAGATGTATCGTGCCATTTCATTCACTGAAGGTGTGTGGGTCTGCTTTCTGAGATAATCATCAATTTTCCTTTGGGAAACCTCCACGACATACCGAATGCCAGCAGAATGTCTGGCTGATGATGCGGGGATTAGCTTGTTGCCTATTTCGCTCTGTCATAGTGCTCATATGTCATATTTTTCTGTTCTATTAAGCATTCGCCTACATAAAAAGAATATTATAAAAACATAATATACAATTGCAAAAAGTCGACATTTGGGATGTATACTGATGTTGTCACTCGAGATTGTGGGAATTGGAAAAATAAAGCGATACACTGATCCGAATCTGTGCGCAAGCAATGATAATGTTTGTTATGTATTTATCAGTTCACGCTTGGAAACATTTAGCTTGGGAACTGTTTAGCAATGCGAAGACGGTGAGCAACGGCGAATGCTGCATCAAAGACTTGATGACGAGAGTTCAGAAGAATAAGTTCAGATCCGACAACTAACTATTTAACAAACGATCTTTTAAAACAAGAGATTGCAGCAATTGTGGGAGCAAAACTGATTTGATGAACACAATTGTTCAACTCATTTTGATATTGTTAACTTGATAATTTTTCGGTATTTACTAATTGTCAACTTTAGACGAGCATTGATCCCCAATAAATCGACTAGCACTTTGGCGAAACCTCAACAAAGCCCAAAAAAGCGCTAGATAACCTTATAGTATTTTCTTGCCAATGAAGAGATTTTATGAGGAATTTGGAATTCCTTATAAAGATGTGGAATATGAATTTTCGTTACATAATTTGATGAAAATTCCAAAGATTGGATACTTCTTTATGGAAATATCAAAAAGTCCAACCATTTACTTACTTCACTCATTCATGAGTTCATGCATAATGAGTAATGAAACAATTTGGCATGCCCTGTTATATCAATTCTAAGTCAGACGAACCTCCTGTCCATGTATCTGTCCACGATCTCGTCGCATTGCTTGTCTTGCATCTTCGTCGGTTGCAAATCCGATGAATGCATCACCGTCGTCCCCTCCTACTATGTGTACGGCTCCATCAGGAATTCGCAGACCGGAGAAGAATGCTCTCACATCAGCGGCAGCGGCGGATAGCGGTAACAATTGCAAACGAATTATTACCGACATCGCAAAGCCTTATTCTATTTCACTCTTCACAACTTCTTGTATTTACGCTCTTCTCTCTGAAAACGAGTTCTTCCTAGCAAATGAACATATCTAATTTGAACCAATGTGAATTTCATTATACCCTTGCGGATTTGGAAGTTATGAAGTAACTAGTTTAGATATTTCAAATGTGTATCGAATGATATAAACTATGGAATTTGTAAGCGGAACGAAATGGTACGAAAGGCCAAAACCACTCAAACCCTCAAATTTCAGAAGCAAAAACCCATCTTGCAGGCTAATTACCAGTAATATCAGCAATGAGCAAAACTAAAAAAAGATGAGATAGTAGGGAGACTAAAACTAAAACATGAAACCAACACCAACACTAGCGACGACGTGGGGAAGTGAGGAAACGGCGAATCGATAGGGAAAATCACTGGATACGCGCGGTCGCGTCGCGGTCACGCTATCGATCACACTTCGAAATTTCGCCCTGCAAACAGCATTCTGTGCTGAAACCGGTTGTGCAATGATGCAATAGAGGACGTTTCGAATAAATCACATTGTAAAATAGTAGCACTGAATTGAACAACAGCAAAAGTACA